GCTTCCAGGTCTGGTTGCTACCGACTTGTCCAGTTTCCTACTTGAAACTTGCCTTGTTCACTGAAAACTCAACATGCTATGTCCCACATTGGGCCTGCACACAGGCTGCTTTTTCCACACTATCAGCTCCCACCAACACACACACACACACCTGTTTTTTCCTCTACATGTACTCAAAAATACTTTCATTTTTGTTTTGTCATAAGGATGTGACCATGCATATTGTTCTGTAATTTATTTTTGTCACCTACCATGTGTTGGCCAACTTTCCATGCTCACAATAGCTCTACCTTATATTTCTTATGAATGGCTCTTTGTATTCCTGAATGGGAATATATTATTATTCCTTAATAGGGATATATGTAGTTTCCTTATCCACACCCCTGTTGATGGACACATGGACATGAGGCTGTTTTTCAGCATTATTAACACTGCTGCAGCAGACACCCCTGTGCATACAGCTTTGTGCACATATCCTAGCTTTTGTGTCGTCAGGGACTCAGGTGATTCCTGGAAGTAGAATTGCTGGGTCAAAGGCTATGTGCATTTTATGTATCAAAAGAAATGCCAATTTACTCTCCATAAGGTATTCATTTACACCACCACCAACAGTGTAAAAATAGTGAAGAAGAGCACGCATTTTTCAGAGTCCTCGTCAACACTAGGTATCATCAATCTTTAAATTTTTGCTCATTGAATTTTTTGTCTTAAATTTGTATTTTGCCAATTGTTAGTGAGACTGAGTACCTTTTAATACTTTTTTATTCATGATAAACCATTCCCTTTACCTATTGTTTTTTTGTTTGTTTTCTTCTCATTGATTTGTGTCCCCTTTCATTTTCTCCACCTGGGTAATTCCTACCAGTCAAGATTTAGGCCAGGCACCACCTCCTTCAAAAAGTCTTCCCCAATTCTCTGGCCTCTCCTGCCCCCACCCCAAGTTAAGTCCTCTCCTCTGCAGTCTGTGCTGACCTTGTCGTGTGTTTTTGTCCTCCACAAGACCAGGAGCATTTAGATCTGTTACCTCTACTTCCCCAGTGCTTATTAGGATGCCCTGCATGGTACAGGCGCATAATAAAAGAATGGAAGAATGAACAAATGATCTGCAAAGAAGATTATTTTTAAGCTTATTTCCTTTTCCTATTCCTCAAGAAAACAATATGGAACAAAATAACCTGTTTGGTTGTATAACGTAACCAAAATGTAAATTTAACATGATTCGTTCCACATAAAGAGATCCTGGCCTTCATTGTTTTAATTTTTCCTTGGCTTCACTTTGAAAGTTAAACTGCCTGGGGTCATAGGATCCCAGGCTCAAGACCTGAAGCTGCTCTAAGTAGCTCTCTTCCTCCCAGTCCCTGGGACACACCCTCACTTCCCCACATCACACCACTGCCTCCTCACCTCTCTAATGTACTTGGGCTCCTGGCCTACAGAAGGCCAGGAAAGGAAAGGCCAGAAATGAGATAGCAGCCAAAATAGTGTTTTATACAACCTGGAATGTCACATAAAGGCTTAGGACATTTAACAAACCTGTTAGTTTACAAATGCTACATTTATTATCAGAGGCAGCCCTAAGCCTCTGACAAAGGAATCCCATCCCACTGCATTATCATCACCTGGATCAGGGAACAGGGAGCCAAGCACACTGAACTCACCATTCAGTGATCAGGCCATGGGTAATGACCTTGAGTCCTTGGATCTGAAACCCACGAGAAAGACCAGGAACCTGGGCCTTTTGCTCATCCTCAAGAGAAGTTAGATCCGAAAGCAAATCTGTAGGATCATGACAAATAATTAGGTTTAATTCTTTCTAATTAACTTAAAGCAACCACTCATTTTGCTTTTATGCTGAGTAAGATCTTTCATCTGTAGCAGCAGCCAAGCTATACCTCAGTTCCAGCTGCGTCCAGTGATAACCGTAACAGTGGCTAATGTGTGCTGGATGTTTTCTGAGTCTGGCACGGTGCTGAGTGCTTCTGCATCATCTCATTTAACTGATATGGACCCGTCAGTTCTCAGCAGGAATGGAAAGCATAATGCTAACTGGGAGGATTTATGTTCAGCTCTGCTACATACATAGGCATCTGTTTCCAACCCATTTCTACAGACCAAGAGGAGCCTCCAGCTTGTTCACAGATGGCTTAGAGGAAACTTACACTGCAATTTCTCCAACCCAGATAAATTCACACGTTCTAACCTGCATGCCTATAAACTTGGATTTGAAGGAAGTTTTCCCACTTCGAGGAGCCTAGGAGGAGCAAGGCACTGTTATTAATCATAAGGAAAGGTTGAAATTAAACTCTCGAATTTCACCAGTGTTTGTTAACTGTTTACAGCTTATTATTTTAAAGGAAGCAAACAGCTGTTTCAGACTCACAGGGTGGGGAGGCCTGGCAAGTTTACCCCCATCACCGAAGCCTTTCTCTCCACCTGGGCAGACTCAGAGAGGGGCCTGGCAAAGCCTTGGAAGACAGCCAATTCTTAAGAAGTGGTTCTATAAGGAGGGAACTGGGAACTAGCAGAGGAGTTTCGACCCTACCTCAAACTTCATAGAGCACAGCCACACCCTCCCTACAAGGGCGAGGCTGCCAAGTCCTGGTGAAAGAAGGTGGGGGGTGGGAAGCTCTTCACTGCCAAGCTGGAGGAAGCGGTTGGAGGCCAGCGTGGGGGAAGAGGAGGGCAACTGAGCCGGGCCTGGGGAAGGGTGTGGAGCAAGTCAGAGCCTTCTAAAAAAGCTCAGGATTCCTGGCAGCTGTGGCTGGAAGGCCTTCTAGTTCTCTTAAAAAGAGGGAGAGAGAGAGAAAAGAAAACAAAAAGTTTGCCTGAGCATGACTCTTCGCCAGTGCCTCTGCAGTGGCTCTCAGAGAAAGCCTGCCAGCCAGGGACAGACAGACAGCCCAATGGAGCAGAAGAGCTGCCAGAAGCCAGCCCACATCTGAGCGGGGGCTTGGAATGTTCTAGGGGTTGGGAGATTGCTCCCACTCTGGAAGAATTGGTTCAGAGACAATTGGCCATCCATATGGAAAAGATAAAGTAGATCTCTATCTCACAGCAGGCCTCCAAATAAATTCCATATGAACTGAAGACCAACAGGGTGTTTCTCCTATGGGGCAGATTGTGCTCAGAGACTCAGATTGTCTTTGTCAATAATTCATTTTACACAGATTCACTGTGGGAATTATAATAATAATATTTCATAAGCCAATAGCATACAGGATGTCTCTTAATAAGTCAATAACATACTCCAAACTAATGACAGATTAATTACACTATTGTTTCAGGCAAAGGAGAAATGAAAGAAATAAAGCCCATATTTAGCTGAGGTGTACCTTTCTAGGAGCTGGTTCCAGGTAGAGTCAGTACTTCCACCTAAAACCTGGGTATCAGCTGCCAGCTTAGGTCCCTTGCTGCTGGGGCATGTAGCTAGCAGGGGGTGGCACAGGGGTTGTCAGGCAAGGTGGGCTGCTCCAGAGTTATTAGTCCAGGGACCATTCATTACACGGTTTGCACCACTGCCTAGGAGGCGCAGCCTTGCCAAGGAGTCGATGTCCCTTCTCTTCCTGAGCCTGCTGCGTGGTTTAACACCACTGTTGACCAGGAGTAGCTTGGTCACAGCAGGAGCAAGTGTCTCAACCTCTTTGGGGAGCTATTTAGATCAGCAAAGAGTAGCTTTGCCCAGTCTGAACACTCCCCAGCTGCTGGTCAAACCCCTTGATTTTTAAAGTGTAAAAATCCATCACATGATGGACACCACTGCTGTCATTATGGTGTCAATGACATACTGGTCCTTGCCACTCAAGGTAAGAGAGTTCGGTAACGAAGTCCTAATATCCAACTTGAAAACAGTTTCATCAAAACGTGTCCAAACCACAAACACCTTTGCCCAAAACAAGCTTTCAAAACATGGGTTTAAAATCATAACAAGTCAGTCCACAACAGAAGGAGCAAGTAAAACTGTGATGGGGTTTTTGGAAGAAAACATGGAAGGACAGCTTTGTGATACTGGGAGAGGGGAAGCTTTCTTTAACAAGGTATGAAACATGCAAAACAGAAAGGAAAATATCAACATTGCTAAATCACAAGAATCCAATGTAGGGGCATCTAATCTAACATAGATGAAAAAATCAGATTACAAAAGGATATCACACTCTGATACCATTTATATAAAATTTCAAAACAAAAAATAGTAAAAATATACAATTATGCTTGTATATTTAAAACTTTTTGTAATTTAAAATAAAATAGAAATCACAATGAGCTATTCACACTACACTCATTAAGATGGGTATTATATTCAAGGAAAAAAAACCAGAAAGTAACAATTGTTGGCAAGGATGAGGAGAAATTGGAACCCTTGTGCATTGCTGGTGGGAATGTGAAATAGTGCAGCTGCTGTGGGAAATGTTATGCCAATTTCTCAAAAAATTAAACATAAAATTACTATAAAAAGGAACAAAGTTCGGATACATGCTACAACATGGAGTAACCTTGAGGACATTATGCTGAGTGAAATAAACCAGACACAAAAGGACAAATATTGTATGATTCCACTTATATGAGATACCTAAAATAGTCAAAATCATGGAAACAGAGAGTAGAACGGTATTGGGGGGTGGGGGGATCGAGAGTTATTGTTTAATGGGTACAGAGTTTCAGTTTGGGAAGATGACAAAGTTTTGGAAATGAATGGTAATGACGGCTGCAGAACAATGTGAATGCACTTTATGCCACAATCCTACACTTTAAAATGATCAAAATGGTATATCACGTTAGGTATGTTTAATTTAAAAACAGGAATTTAAAAGAAGAAATTGGGCTTCAATCCAGCCGGTCTGTCTAGTACAGCCGGCAGAGCTGTTCACCTGTCTACAGACAGTCGCCCTCCCCTCCCCCTCCCCCTCCCCTCCTCCTCCCCCTCCCTTCCTCCTCCTCCCCCTCCCTCACACCGGGTCGCTGCCCTGCAGCCCCGGCCTTTCACCGCGCAGACGCAGAGCTGGGGTGGGCGGGCCGGAGAGGGCTCGGCCTCACTCCGCGCCTTGCTGAATCCCAGCTGGAGCTGCCGTGCGGGAAGTGATGCCCAGGTTGGGCTCTCAGGCCCCGCGGTACGCGGGTAGGCCCGCAATGCACACGCGCAGACCGAGCACCCACGTCAATAAACGAGCGGAGAGGACGCTCCCCACGTCCTGCGCGCCCAGCTGCCAGCATTCGTCTCTGCCGCCACTCCGCGCTCCGCGCCCGCGTCTGAAGAGCGATGCCCCGGGAGATCATCACCCTGCAGCTGGGCCAGTGCGGCAACCAGAGTGAGCGAGCGAGCGCCGGGCTCCTCCAGTCTCCGGTTCTGCCCCTTCGGGTCTCACCCAAGTTCTTGGCACCCTCCCCCTTTCCTTTCCATGCACCACCACCCCTGCCCTATTGCGCATGATGGATGCGCCCCAGACGGAGAGCCGCGCTTGGGTCCATCCTCTGAGTGTGACAGCCGCTGAGCCTAAACCTGGGCTTCTGAGGCCTTATGACTCTAGCAAACCCAGGTATCTCTCCGCATCCCCCAGTTGGGTTCGAGTTCTGGAAACAACTATGCGCCGAGCACGGTATCAGCCCCGAGGGCATCGTGGAGGAGTTCGCCACCGAGGGCACTGACCGCAAGGACGTCTTTTTCTACCAGGTGCCCCCAGCGCCTTGGACAGGACTGGCAGTGACCCAACGGGCCTAAAAGGAAGGGGAGTGGCATGGTACTGGGAAACCCGCTGGGCAGAGGAGCCAGGGCGAATGGCTTGAGGGAGGGCAGACAGGAGCCAGAGTTGGGAGGATGGAGGCCTGGGCAGACCTGAGTTGATTACCACCCCCACTCCCCACTCCCCTCTCCCCTGTGCCCTCAACAGGCAGACGATGAGCACTACATCCCCAGGGCGGTGCTGCTGGACCTGGAGCCCAGGGTGATCCATTCCATTCTCAACTCCCCCTATGCCAAGCTGTATAACCCAGAGAACATCTATCTGTCAGAGCACGGAGGAGGAGCTGGCAACAACTGGGCCAGCGGATTCTCCCAGGTACGCAGATGGCCATCCCTGAGACCCTGGATGTTTCCCCCTCAGAGCAAGGCAGGCTCAAGCAGCCTGGGGATTGACCAAACCTGATTGACTGTAAGAGATGAAGGATACCCTAACAGGAGGGACGGCCAGGAAAAGGTTTTTGCAAACTGTGCAAATCATTTGCAAAGTAACTTTTCTGAATTGAGGGCCATAGGCTGAGGCTCTGCTTGAGGGTGGCAGCAGTGTTCTTTGCGCTGAAGAGAGGGTCTCCAGAACCTTCATCCTGACCCCCCCATGTCTCTAACAGGGTGAGAAAATCCATGAAGACATTTTTGACATCATAGACCGAGAAGCAGATGGCAGTGATAGCCTAGAGGTGAGGTTCTGCCCTACTGAAGAAAAACAAAGACTGAAGAGTGCTGGGGAAAGGTCAGGACATAGCCTGAATAAGTCGTGTGATAGGGGCAATTCAATTCCAAAGTGATTTATTGCGCATCAGATGTGAGATACCCAGGTAAATACAGTGCTTGTCCTCAAAGAGATCCTAATCTGGTTGGCATCAGTTCCTGAGGCATGAGTCTTCCTCCCAAGGAGCCTCAGCCTGGATGGACACCACAAAGAAGCCTTGAGACATGAGTACATGAGAATAGGGAATGAGACAAGCCTGAAGCCTCTCCCTCAGACCCCTGGAGTCTGCCTCTCCATCCCTCCTCATGCAGGGCTTCGTGCTGTGTCATTCTATCGCTGGGGGTACAGGTTCTGGCCTGGGCTCCTACCTTCTGGAACGACTGAATGACAGGTAAGGCTGTGTTTGGGGAGAAGGCGTTAGCCTTGGTGATATCTTTCCTTTTTGTCCTTTTTTCCTCTTGGACTGGAAGGCCTGCCACTACTCCTTTGAGTCATAGGTAGAAAGAGAGCCTGGGCACCCAGGGAACATCCTGGAAGCAATAGCTTCTGGGGGGCACAGGTTGGGGGATAGAGGGGAGAGGAGAGGAGGGGACCTATAGGGTTTGATGCTTTAGGCTGATCCTTTTTGGCTCCTGGGGTCTGAGAACCAGTTCTGCCCTTGGGCCTTTTTACAAGAGCTTGATGGCATGTGGAAGGAATGGCCCCTGTTGTCCCTACAGAAGACAGAGATGGGCTCTGATGGGAGACCTTCCAATTCATTGTGCCACTTTCCCCTTTACCTCTTTCTCACCCCCAGGTATCCCAAGAAGCTAGTGCAGACATACTCAGTGTTTCCCAACCAAGATGAGATGAGCGATGTGGTGGTGCAGCCCTACAACTCACTGCTCACGCTCAAGAGGCTGACCCAGAACGCAGACTGTGTGGTGAGAACAAGAGGAGGGAGTGGGGGCCTTTGGTCTGCCTCCCTAAACCAGTGATACACACACACCCTGCCCTTCCCAAGCCCCTGCCCAGAGAATGGAGGACCAACAAAGCCATAGATGGTGGCCCAAATTATGAAATAAGGATGGGACTCCAAGTTGTTTGCAGTCCCTTTAGGCAGCAAGACTCTCAACAAAGGTGCTATCCCTTATGTGTCCTCATTTAGCCTTTTCAATGCATACTCATGCTTCACTTCTCAGCTCAGAGGTCACTTTCTTAGCTAAACCTTGCCTGATGACTCAGTCAAGGTCAAATTCCTTTGTGCATATTTTAGTCTCTAAAGCTCTGACTATACTTTTTTCATGTTTTATATATAATGTTGGTCTTCCTCCACTAGACTGTAGACCTGGTGAGGGGAAGACTGTCAGTTTTACTCTCCATAGGATGTCCAGAGCCTGACAGTGTGTGGCACAGGAGGAAAATCATATACTTGTTGATTGCACTAGATGGTAGAAAGTGTCTGCTCATGCCCCTAGGCAGTACTTTACTTTTAAATCAACACATCTACGTCCTGATTTTGGAGTTTAGATGGGGGCTGAGCTTATGACTTATTTTTCTGCCCCCTTTCTCTTCAAAAAGGTGCTGTGACCTTCTTCTGTCCCCCCAGGTGGTGCTGGACAACACAGCCCTGAACCGGATTGCCACAGACCGCCTGCACATCCAGAACCCGTCCTTCTCCCAGATCAACCAGCTGGTGAGCCCCACTCCTGGACTCCCTTCGACTGGAACCCCTTCTTGCCAGAGTGCCGCCTGGGGAAGGGAGCCCCCCACCCCGAGGCAAGGCCATGACATGGCACCCATCCCCAGGTGTCCACCATCATGTCCGCCAGCACCACCACGCTGCGCTACCCCGGCTACATGAACAACGACCTCATTGGCCTCATCGCCTCGCTCATTCCCACACCACGGCTCCACTTCCTCATGACCGGCTACACCCCCCTCACCACAGACCAGTCGGTAAGAGCGGCCCTCCGTGTCCCAGGCTCTGCCCAGGCCTTTCTCTTCTGCCTCCCTGGGATCTGCCCTTTGCGGCCGCTGGAGGCTCCGTGCTCAGGGACTGGCACAGACCTTACGGCTTCTTGTTGACTTGCTCTCCTCTGCCCTCTGCCTCTGGCTCCCCCCAGGACCTGGGCTACACGGGGTCTGCTTGGGCTCCTGCACGGGGGAGTGAATTCGCTGAGCTAAGGAGGGCTAAGAGCCCTGGTCCCACAGCAGAGGCTCAGTTTAGAGCTGAATCTAAAGTCACTCCCCAAAGAGACTGTACTACCCTGAAGCCAGTGGGGGCCATGTGTTGCCTACTCCTCTCTGGACCATGTCCTGAGTGTGGGCTGCTGTCCCCTCAGGTGGCCAGCGTGAGGAAGACCACGGTCCTGGATGTCATGAGGCGGCTGCTGCAGCCCAAGAACGTGATGGTGTCCACAGGCCGGGATCGCCAGACCAACCACTGCTACATCGCCATCCTCAACATCATCCAGGGGGAGGTGGACCCCACCCAGGTAGGCGAGGCCCCTCGGTTCCACCCCCACAACCCACAGGGGTAGAGGAGAGGCTACCACCCCCACTCGTGTGCCCACCCCAGGTCCACAAGAGCCTGCAAAGGATCCGGGAACGGAAGCTGGCCAACTTCATCCCCTGGGGCCCAGCCAGCATCCAGGTGGCACTGTCGAGGAAGTCTCCCTACCTGCCCTCAGCCCACCGGGTCAGCGGGCTCATGATGGCCAATCACACCAGCATCTCCTCGGTGAGGCTAGACCATGAGTACCATGGTCATCTTTGGCCACTCAGTCCCATTAGCCACCTTCATCATTCTACCCCCTTCTGTTCTAACCCCCATCTTTCACCAGTTCCCATTCTGGAGATTTCTCTCTTTTAGCTTTTTGAAAGTTCCTGCCAGCAGTATGACAAGTTGCGGAAGCGGGAGGCCTTTCTGGAGCAGTTCCGCAAGGAGGACATTTTCAAGGAGAACTTTGATGAGCTGGACAGGTCCAGGGAGGTTGTGCAGGAGCTCATTGATGAGTACCACGCAGCCACGCGGCCGGACTACATCTCCTGGGGCACCCAGGGGCAGTGACTTCCTCCCCACCACTTCCCCTGGGAAGTTAGCACAGCTCCCATCATGCCTGGGCCCTCTGACCAAAATTGCCCTTTCCAACCTTTCTAGGTTCATCTCCAGCCCAGGAGCTGTCCCTACTTCTTCCCTTCCCTGCCCCTTGAAATGCTTATTTAGCTCTAATAACGCAATAAAGCTTGGTTGTGAATATAGTCAGGGCTTGGTCTGTGAATTGGACTGTGTTCCTCCTCAGTTCCCAGGCATTATTGGCAGGGTAGGCTTTACCTGCTCTAGCTTCTTACAGCTTAGTTTAGGTCTTATCATACCCACTGTTACCACTGGCATCTTTTACCTAGAACTAGGCTGTTTACTGGAGTCAGTCCTATTCTCAAGACTAGAGAGGGTTGCTGAGGTCTGCTGTTTCCTCACTGATGAAGCTCCTGCCCCAGGAAGGGAGGATCAGTACTGCCCCAAACTCCTCCATTCATGGCAGAGGCTGTTGGAGCTACTGAAGGGGGGCCTGCAGCATTCTGAGCAGGTCAGGAGAGCCGGGACTCTGGATTCCCAGTGCCCAAGGTCATTCATTAGATGCTCAGGAACACAAACCAATTCAACCCAACCTTATAAAGCAGGAACCAAACACAGGAGTAGGGCTGAGCCCATCCTGAAAAGTTCTTTATCTGAGCCAGAGAAGTTCTTGGGTTTGGTCCTGCCCCAAGCTTCTCTCCATTCTAGTCCCAAAGCAGGTACACCAAAGATGGATCCAGTCAGAGCCCAGAAGCTGAACACCAGGGTAGGAACTGGGTATTGCCAGTCCTGATAATTCACTGCCCTCTGGCCTCAGGGAGGCCACCCCTATGCCACTCAGCAGGGAAGAGAGGGTGAGTAATTGCCAGCTTCCAAAGCTGCCCTCTTGCTACCCCACCCACCACCTTAAGACAGCTACTGGCCAAGAGGAGGTTAAATCCAGAAGGTCAAAGAGGGTGGAGCCCTGTGGTATCCAGGGTGCCCTCAGTACTGGTAAAAGCCCAGAGTGTGGGTGTCCCTGGGGTGGAGCTCTGAGCTATGGGGCTCCAGTTTGTCCCACTGACAGACAACATTCCCACAGGAGGGGTTTGTGTAAATAAAGATTTTTTTTTTTTTTTTTGCTTCTCTTCTACAAATAAATTAAGAAACAAACTAGAAAATTGTCTGCACCTACTGCAGCCTTTGGGTGTGGGGTGTGCCCTGTCCCTGCAGGGCCGAAAGGGTCCATGGTTCTCTTAAATCTCAGAGCAATCCAGGTCCAGGCAGGAAGGAGGTCATGACCTCTTGGCAGGCTCAGTCCTGCAGCTGCCCCAAGCAGCCAGACTGTCCCTGGGGCTCGTCCAGGCCCGGGTGCTGCCTGGGAGGGGAGGTGTCTGGCAGATCTTGGCATGGAGGAGGGCTGCTGTGGGGCCTCTCAGGGGAGGGGTTGGCCAAGTAGGCATTCACCAGTTGCATGATCTCTTCTACCTAAGAGAGAGTAGAGGTCAGAGGGCAGTAGAGACCACTGGGTTCTCTGTTATCCTTTACCCAGGCTCCTTACCAAGGCCTTAAATCAGCTGTCTGCCCCCTGCAGCCTTCCCTTCCTTCTCTTCACACTCTCCCTTACCTATGTGCCAGCCACACTTGCTTCTTTCTGATCCTCTAATATGCTGTTTATTTTCACCCCAGGGCCTTTGCACTTGCAAGTCCTGCTACCTGAGGCTGTTCTCCCAGATCTTCCTATGGCTAGCTTAAATGGCTCCTTCTTTGAGTGTCCTTCCCTGACCATCCTAATGCTGTGGCCCCTCTAGTCACTCCCCCTCACACTACCCTTTCCTTTATACCACTGACCAGTAGTATCTTAAATAGTCTTTGATTCCTTGTCAGTGTCTGACTCCCTTGTAAGCTCCTTGGAGCTTGTCTTTGATCATAGCTGGATCCCAGCACCTAGAGCTGTACCCTGCCCATGCTCAGTGTTTAATAAATGTTTCTTGTTTCCCTTCCTTTTTCCTTCCACATCCTTCCCACTCACCTGGGGGCTCTGCAGGAGGAGCTGGCTCTCTCCTACCCTCAGTGCCAGGGTATGGGGGCCCATTAGCTGGCAGGCGGCCACATGACCATAGCTGACACTGTGGATGGGCTCTGTCTCACCCGGTCGGGAGAGGGACATGGCCTTGGCTCCCAGGCCCAGGCATAGCTTCTGTGGAGTGCCCCCACCAGGCTCCTGCAGACACACAGGCAGAGTCAGAATGAAAGAAGCAGAGGCTGCAGCATTACTTTGGGTTGGGGAAGATGGCTGTGAGCAGGGTGTCCCCGTTCCCCCTGTGATCCACTGTGGAGGTGTGGAAGGGGCTGAGGCTCCAGGGAGGTGAGCGCCCAAGGACCTGTGACACCTGGGGTCTGAGATGGGCAGCTGTGCTGGGTGTAGGGATGAAGTGACCCACAGTGCTGGTCAGTGACTCTGGGGCAAAGGTGTGGGGCTTGGGCCACCAGAGTCCCTTCTCCCTTTTCCCCCTCACCGTGCTCAGCTCCAGAACGTCATACCGAGCAGCGCCGAACCCTGGACACTGCGCCGCCAGAGCCAGGTAGGCAGCCATGGCCTCAGCTCGGCCCATGCCGCGTAGCCGCTTCCAGCCGCCCAGTACAGCAGCCGCCGTGCCGGCGCCACCTCCTCCCTCGTGAGGCACGCTTCCCGCCCTTCGGCCGGCCCCGCTGCGCCGGGTCCGCTCCACGCGCCTCTTGGCTAGGCCCGGGCTCCAGACTGCCCCGGCCAGCAGGGCGGCGGAGCGGGGAGGCCTGGGGACCGACCGAGGAGGGCCTTCACGCGGCGGGGACGGGGACGGCAGCAGGCGGTCTAGGCGCGGCAGCGGCGCCCGCGGGGAGAAGTCCCGGTGCAGGCTCTGCAGGCGCAGCGCCGCCAGGGCGCGCAGCGTGTCGTCGGGCGGGGGCGGCCGGCCGCGCAGCAGCAGAGCGTGAGCCTGCGGGGAGGCACCGGACATCAGCGTAGGGAACGGAGGCTGTCCCGCAGCGAAAACACCTCGGGGTGTGGAATCTGGGGTCTGGGTTCGAGAAAACCTTCCGCGGGGTCGCCATAGCGATTAAATGAGCTGGCCCAGAAACGGGGGGTTCAGGTTCGGGGTCTTTTGGGAAGCCTTAATGCTGGAGATCCTCACTTGCTCAAAGAGGAAAGGCAGTTCATGACCGTCTGGGGACAGCCCCTCAGGGTGCAGAGGTCCGTGAAGACGCAGACAGAGTCTCCAACCGGAGTCCGGCGAGTCCTCCAGCCCAACTTCTTCCGCCGCCAAACTGCAGAAGAGATAAGACCCTGATGCCGGGCGGAAGCAGGGCTCCCCGAGGCTCCTGCCTCTGGGGAAAGGGGCGGACCTAGGGGGCGGGGTCAGAATTTGGGGCGGGGCCCGGGCTGGAGGCTGCGCTTGGGAGAGCCAGGCATCCAGACTGCAAACCGCTCGCAGGCAGGAGTCCATCTAAGACCCAGCAAAATAACTGTGCAGGACAAGTGGCAAGCGCTCGGTAAGCGTTTGCTTAGGGGTTGACCGAAGCTAAGAGGCAGATGAGCTAGCGGAGAGCAGGACTGGGGCTGGACATTTACTTCTCAAACCTGGTGAGCACATCAGCCACGAGAGTGCCCCCAGCCAGGGCTCGCTCCTGGGCCCCTCGCTGCTCATACAGCGCGAATGAGTTTCGGCTGCGCGCCAAGCCCAGCCGCCCCACCAGCTCTCGAGCAACCTGGCAGGGAGAGAGCGTGCGGAGAAGGTCAGAACGCGCAGGGTTCTTGCCAGTACTTCTGAAGGGGCTGATCCAACTGGAGGGGTCTTCCAGGTCTCTTAGTCCCGTCACACACACCCCTTACCCAAATGAATCTCAGATTCGGGGCAGAACTCGGGCCCAGGAACTAGGAAAACTGGGCACGGGAAGCTGGGTGGAAGGGTTGAGGTTTCAAGGGTTTTCTCTGGCCTTACCTCCCCTGCCGTGGTGTGGGAATCTATGGCCACAGGGCAGGCACCAGCCCCCGGACAGTGTACGGTGCACAACAGCTCCTGCCGTCGGCTCAGCGCGGAAATCTCTGCCAGAGATGGCACCAGCTCTCGGCCGCTAGTTCGGCCCAGCGCTTTCCGGATGAAACGTGCGTATTCTGCCAGCTCTGAGTCCGGGAGCGCCTGCTCAGTCCTGGGTTAGGGAGAACCCGAGGATCAGTGCTCAGAGGGCTTTCCTTCTACCCCGTCCCTCCCTCCTTCTTTTATTATTATTATTATTATTTTTTTTATCTCATCGATTCCCTCCCCACCAATTCTAAGTTCCTTGAAGGCAGCTACTGGCTCTTCTGAATCTACCCCTGGTGCTCTGTATAGAGTTGAATTACTTTCTCGGGTCTCTGGCGTCTCTCTCCTAAGCGGCCCCTCCTAGTTCCAAAGTCTCCAGGGTATTTCTTCGGGTTGAAATCCAAAATCTAGCCACATTCTGCTTTCCAATCTAAAAGCCCTGGAGCTGGACTGCACCAGCCCCGAGGAAAAGCAGCCTTTTTATAATTCCTCTGCCCAAAGGAGGCATCTTACTGTAATTCCAAATGGGATATGGTCTCTTAATTCCCACAAGGAAACTACATTTTAGCAGCAGCCCTGACCTTGGGCAAGTCCATTTCCTTCTCTGGGTCTAAATTCTCTATCTGCCAAACCATTTGGAAAGGCCTGTCCTTCTCTCCCAACCCTGTAGTTTCCTTGCCTTGGCTTTACTCCACTTCCTCCCCTCTCACCTCTCCAGATGCCCCAGGAGGTGCCCCCTTACGGCTACCCCAGGCCGGAAGGTGCAGCTCATGCAGGTGAGGAGCTGCCAGTACCGCAGAGCCGCGGGGTCTTGGGTAGCCGGGGGCCCGGGCGGACCCGCGGGGCCCGAGGTCTGCTTAGCCAGCTGCAGGAAGAGTTCGTCGCGCAGCGCGGGCAGGTCCCGGCAGGTCTGGAGCACACCCTGCATCAGGGGCCCGGGGCGCCGCGCCCCCTCCAGCGCCTGCAGCGCCAGGAACAGCCTCACCGCCTCCTCGCGCAAGGGTGCGTAGCCTGGACCTGCGGGAGGGTGGGGGCGGAGGGACGGTTTGGAGAGGGGACACAGAGCTGGGTCCTGAGAGGAAGGCACGAACCGAGGGAAGGTCAGAGGGAGTATAAGGGGACGGGGGTGGTGAGGAGGGGAGAGTACGAACGACAGGAAGAGTGAAAGGAAAGCAGCGGTCCCCACAGAGCTACATTCTCAACCCCCGACTCCCAGGGCTCTCTCCCTCCGGATCAGCTAAGATTGCACTTTGAGCTAAGGCAGAGAGAGAGTCTCAAGGACAGAACTGCAAACCCCAGATTCTGTAATTGGGTACGGAGAGCCATCACCACGGGCCAGAAAACAGGCTGACTGGGAGTCAGAAAACCAGGCTTCTTCTCCCAGCTCCCCATAATGCTCTAGCTTTAGGACCTGGGCCAGTCACTATTCTCTTTTGGGGAGCAGTATAGCTGGATGAGGCTGGCACATTCTCCCAAAGTGGTGGCTTTTCCAAAAGGTAGTTTGACGTGGTCTTAATAGCACAATAGAAAATAGAAGAGAGAATATAAAAACTCATGAAGGAACATCGGTTATTAGAATAAGACCCAGAGAAAAGATGGTCAAAAGGGTACTTTTTTTGGTGCTGGCTTCCCTCCCCTCCACCCGGGGTATCAGTCTGGTCAGCTTCCAGTGTCAGCTAAGGAGCTGGGTAGGCCCCCTGACGACTCCTAGATCTCTGTCAGGAGAGGCATTCAGATTCCCCATCCAGGGTACTTGGGCCATGGCACACTCACCTGGGGCGCTGACTCCGTAGGGCAGGGGCAGGAGTGGGGCATACAAGGCCCCACTGGTGTGCCTCAGAATCGGGTTCCGGCAGTAAATAAGGGCTATGGCCTCCGGGTCCCCACAACTCTCCTAGAGGCCAGGGTTAGGGTGACAGTGATGGAAAAGAGGGTTCTCCGTGAACCCAGAAGTCTTCTGTGTCCACCACCCTCCTCTTTCTCACTAAGTCCCCTCTCTCGCACCTGAATGTCCCTGAGCAGCAGCTGGGTGGGGGTCTCCAGCGGCGCCTTGGAGGCTATCACTTCGCGCAGCACCACGCCCCAGCGCTCCGCCTCGGCCTGACGCGGGGAGCAAAGCCGGACGCTGTGCTTCCGGCCAGACACGGTCACTGACCACAGACCTGAAGGAAAGAGAGGCCACGGAGGGCAATCAGGACCGGCTAGGGCCTCTGCTCAGGGAGGTAGAAGACTCCCTATGAGGTCTCACCGGTTTCCTTAGGCCTGCGCTCCGGGCCAGTCACCGAACACAGGCTGGTAAGCACGAGGCTCCCGAGGCGCCGCGCCCCCTTCCCGCTGCTGCTGAACTGGTCCAGGGAGTCCCGGGTGAGCACGAACCAGGCCCGGCGCGGGGGCAGCCAGGGCCGCGCCCCTCCTCCTCGGGGCTCGCGGTACAACCAACCTGGGGGGAGGAGAGGGAGGAAAAGGGGACCAGCATTAGTCATACTCCCCTGGAGGGCCGGGATTGGAGACCTTCAGAGTGCATAAAGTGGATCCCCACCTTTCACGACAACGTCCGGGTCGTCCTCCGGCGCCCCCTTCTCTGGGATGAGGCTCCGCGTCTCCTCCCAGCTCTGCAGCCTGGGCCAGAGGAGAAAAGGGTTGGGTAAGGCTGCTGATCCTGCACCCCGCCTCCAGGGGGCTCCTCAGTAGGGGCTCCCCAGACCGCGAGGGGTGCTGTTCTGGGAATGGGCACCCCTCCCCCAGGCTGTGGGAACCACTGGGCCACTCTGACCTCGGACCAGAAATAGCCTGAACCCCCCCTTCCTCCCCGCGCCCCCAGCCGGACCGCCCCCCGGGACCCCGGCCAAACCACAGCGTCCGGCATAAGGCCTCTCCCTTATTGCACAACCGAGGTTGGGAAGACGACGAAGATGGGAGGAGGGGTCCCGGGAACCGGCTGGGGTCTCCAGACCATGGGACGCAGGGGCGGAGCTCACCTGTCTAAGACCTGTCCGCTCCTCACAGGCTGAGTCAGTGTCACATCCAAGGGGCCCTGGAGAAACAGGCAGGGCAGCCCTCAGAATCAGAGCCTTCATCGCGGGATGCCAGTGGCTCCTGTTCCCAGGACAGCTCTGCTCAGGGGATTGAGGAGTCAGGATCGTGACTGTGACCGAGCAGGCTGAAGATGCCGGGCTCGCCCCTTCCGCCAGTCTATACCGAAGAGCCCAGGCTCCCGCCATGTCTCAGTTATCCTTTGAAGATGCAATTAGAGGTGGTGGGGAAAGTGGAAAGATCACTGCGCAGGGAGTTAGGAGACCCGCGTTCTGATATCATCTCAACCACTAACTCTGGTAGACCCTTGAGTCCTTGGGCCTTAGCTGTCCCATCTTTGAAAAGGGAGGTGTGGATGAAGTCCCCTTTTGTTATGGAAGGCTGCAAGTCACCCCCTCCTCATTTTCCTTCCTTGGGTGGAGGGCTGGCAAGCGATTGGGCACAGAGGTGAAGGAAGGGGAGAGATCTGTTTCAGTATTGGACTTTAAGAGCTTTTTATGCCCTCCCACAGACACCCCTGAGACTCAGTGGTAAGCAGAGACCCTGCCCCTTTGCTGGGGCTCAGGAAAGGGTAGGCCAGGTTGAGGAATGGCAAACACCCCCTAGTCTGGGATTTTTTCCCCTTCCCCATCGTCCCCCATGTCCTGCAACTTCAACTGTAGACTTGGGTCTGAAAGACGGAAACCCATCCAGCAGCCAGGTCAGGCAGGAACTGTGCCCTCCCGTTGAGCCCAGACTGCTAAAGCCAAGAGGGTGGGTGGGGGAGGAGGGCCAGGACACCTGTCCCCAGGCTCTGGGGAGGGGGGTGGAGGTGGAGCATGAAGGAGGCAATGGTGTGGTTCACAGAGCTGACCCTGTTCCAGGCTGGAAGCACGGGGACGCCTAGGTTCTGTGCCTTCCAGGGCGCGATCCACCTATTTTTTGGAGGATCTGAGAGGGGTTCTCAGTCACACCACCAGGTGCTGACCACTCACTCAGACCAATTCCCCTAATCGCAGTCCCCTGCCTTACTGCCTCCCTCCCTCCCTCCCTCTATATTTATCCGCCCTCCGCCTCCGCCAGGTGCTGGCGCCGGCCCCGCAGCGCAGCCCGCCCCACCCGGGCACAGAGCCACCGGGCCTGCTGGGGACCCCTGAGCGGGGGATGGGAACCTGACCCAGGCCACAGCAAATGGGAGTCTGGTTGCCGGTGTGCAGGGACATCGGAGAGGGGACGTCAGGGGTTGGAGTTCTCCCACACCAAGCGAGTCACAGTTTCCCCATGGGAAGATTCGGCAAAACTGGGTAGCCGAGTGGTCTTAACCATCCTTTCAGGGATTCCCCGAGAGCCTCACCACGGAGGGCCGAAAGTTCCGTCCTGAGAGGCAGGTTAATGACGAGGGGTCCTGGAAGAGTTGTAGCGCCCAGCTCCCTCTCTGTGGGGTCCCCGCCACGGACCCCAATCTGAGGATGCCTTCTCCCCCGCGCCCAGGTCGCCGCGGCGGGAGCTCCAGCATCTGGCCCCAGAGCTCCTCGCTCACGAACTGGGAGCGGAGCGGACCCAGGAGTCCCAGCTGCCCAGCCGGCCTCGCCACATTCCTCGGCGCTGGCGGAGGCGGAAGGAGACGGGATGGGACGCGGACCCGGGGAAGAAGGGAGAGGCAGGGCCAGGTCGGGCCACGCGTGACGCCTCCCCTGCCTCAGGGCCCCCAGCAGGTGGACAGCGCCCAGCGTGCGGCGCAAGGCCCACAGGCACATCCCGAGTAGGGCAGTTTCTCGAGTTCCCGGGGGCTTCTGGCTCCCAAAACCTCTCCCACGTCCCCAGTCCGCCAAGAAAACGGCGTTCGGCTGGAGTCTGGAGCAGGATCAGGCGTGACGGCCAGTTGTAGTGAGGATTGAGACAAGGCTCCAAACCCCCCGGGACTTACCCTCCTCCCGCCGCCCGCTGGACTCGGGGTCCGTAGCTCAAAGGTCTCCTCGTCCTCGTCCTCGTCCCCGTCCCCGCTAAACTCGCCGTCCCCGTAGTCCCGGTGCAGAAGAGTAAAGCCTCGACGGCAGCAGAGCAGCCACCACAATCCCCCGGGAAGAGGCATCCGGGCGAGTAGCCGGGGGATGGGGGTGCGGGCAGCAGGGGCCGAGCTGCAGGGGGTCGGGGAAACTGGCGGGGCTCAGACGCAAGCGAGTGAAAGAGGAGACGGGAGGAGGGGAAGAGAGAGGTGGACAGGGAGGAGGCAGTGTCTAGCTTTGGGGTGCAAGGGGTCGTTAGCTAGAGCCTGCGGGGGGCTCAGTGTCTGGGCCCCCGGAGGGGGAGGGGGGAAAGCGTCCAGGGCCCGGGTGGCGGGGGTAGGGGGGAAAGCAGGGAGCAATGTCCTGAGCTGAGAAGTAGTGTCCGTTGTAGTGTCCAGCCCTGTGGGGGGCAGTGTCCGGTGCAGTGTCCGAGGTGGGCAGTTGTCCAAGCTCCAGGGACGGTCGTGTCCGGTAGGGCGTCCGGTGGCCGGGGCCCGGGCCGCGCGCGCTGCGCTCCCTGCAGCCCCGGGACTGGCGCGCTAGGGGCGCGAGCACAGCGCCGGGACCCCGCCTCCTCAACCTTCTCCCCTCCGCGAGAGGCCCCCCTTCTCTCTTCTTTCTCTCCTCCCTTCTTTACAGGGCAGGGTCCAGTTTTCGTCACAGCCTCCTCTGCCCAATCCCTGTGCCTGGCGCCGTGAGCGGCCACCAATCAGGCTACTGAAACTGCGGCGGTTTGCATCATGTGTCCCTGGCTTGGTGACAGCGGTGAGGGGCAGGGGTGTAGGGAGGGAGGAGGCGGCGCGATGTTAGCCACACCCCTGCCTCTGAGGTAGGACGCGGAGTGCTAGTGACATCACGGAAGCCCGCCTTCCTGCCCTACTATTAACTATTGGCTTACCAACCAACATATTCAAAACCCTCTTGAGAAGAAGCTTTGGAGAACGAAGGGCAGAGGGAAAAGGGGAAGGCCCCGACCGCTGCCCTCTGAATTCCTCTGTCTTCTTAGGGTCTCTGCGCCAGGCACAGCTCTAGAGGTGGCCCTCCTCCCCTGGATGCTTCCAACTGAGTCATCTCCTTTTCGAGGTGAAGAAGCTGAGGCCAAGACTCCGGGGAAAGTGCAAACCTAGGCCGGAAAAAAAAATCTAATTTAGAGCGCACAGTCCACTGAACTACAGTGGGGAGAGTACTTGGGATTCTAGGGAATTCTGTAGTCTTCAAATAAGTGGAGCCTCTCAAGAAGAGCCTGCGGTTCTGTGTGGAAAAGGGTTAACCGAGGCGCTAAGCGGACGGGGCGGGGCCACCGATGGGGCGGGGCCTGGGCTACCACGGGCGCGCGCGGGCGTTGCTGACTCAGCGGCGATTCCCGCGGTCTCCGGTGGACGGTTCCAGGATGGCCCCCAGTGGCTGGCGTGTGAGACCCTTTGGGGATCGGCGCCATCTCCAGGCCTTCCTTGCATCTTGGACCCTGGAGGCCGAGGCTCTCTGTGTCAGCCACCGAAGGCTCTGGGAAGGCTAGCCCGAACTGGGCGGGGCGGACAGGGCGTGGAAGTCTAGGACAACACCTCCCTTGAGATTTCCCAGCCCAGCCCCGCCCTTCTGGCCCCTGGTCCCCAGACTCTTAAGCTGGAGTGGTTCGTTGGGGCAGTTTAGTGGACCGGATATTAAACTGCATGAGAGTTGTTGCACGTGAACACCATCCTGACTGTCGTGATTGCGTAAAACAAAGACCAGGAATCAATGCGACCGTCTCTGGAGGCCATCCCAGGCTTGCCCTCACCCCAGATGAGAGTTGCCTTCGCTGAGAGTTCTTAGGAATGGAGACATCACAACCGTATACTAGAGAGGATACACTCTTCCCCGCCTCGATCCCAGGACTTGCCTACAGGGAAGTTCTTTCCGATGTCTGACCTCTCTTTCCTGCAGGCTCAGTGCATTTCCTCTGACCCTGTCTCCAGGGAAGGTAGAGAACAGCAGTCACCCCTACCGCGCCCGCGATAACAACTCTGGAAATCTGCAAATTGGAATTCTCCCCTTGGTTTTTCTCCAAGGTGAAAAATCTGCAATTCAACTTGAATTACTTTTTTTCTTTCCCCTACAGAACCTTAGAAGGGACTGTAAGGTGGTAAACTAACCCAAAAACCCACCCCAAATGGGAATCTCCTGCCCCCCTCCCTATCCCCACACCATGCACAGGCACACACAGTGCCCGACAGCCTCAGCCTGAACATTCCAGAGGCCGGGAACTCGGTGCTTGTTATGGCAGCCATTACTGGATAGCACTCAGGTTGTTAGAAAGCTCTTCCTTACGCTGTTTCAAGAGGAACTTCGCCCCTCCTGCCTGGCAGCTTCAATACCTCCTCACCTCTGTTGGCAGAGACCGGGTATAGGTGGAGGGGGTGTCAGCGCCTAGAGCTTTAGCAGGCTCAGCAGCCTTCCACCCCCACCCAGGCTCTCAGCGCCTTCCATTTCGAGCCAAGCACGGTGGAGAGCGGGGGGGGGCGGGGGGGGGGGGGCGGGGGGAACCGACCGGCTCTGGCCTGCCACAAATCACTTCCAAGTCGGTGACTCAAAAATAGTAACAGTTGTTGGGTTGCATCTCATTTCCATGTTATCAACTTAATGTGGCAAAGCACAGAAGCAATTCCTTTAGGTCCTACCTCAGTGTTCCCCCACCTACTCCCCTTTCCCACAACCCTCCCTGGAATCATTTCCTCAGCCTTCCCCTGCTCTTGATCGCAGCCCTAGTTGTCCCAGAAGGAGACACTGTGGGTCTCAGTGGGAGCCGAGCAGGAAGAAAGGCGGGGCCGGCGGGGGCAGCGGCTGCGGGGATGAGGTCCTGGGCTGCAGCCCCCACTCCGTAGCAGCCTCCGCAGGTCCTGGCGGAAGCGCAGGCCCAGAAAGGCATAGAGCACTGGGTTGAGACCGCAGCGAGCGAGAGCCAAGCCCCCGGTCACCAGCAGTGCCAGATCCTTGCGCTTGCTGGCAGGGCAGCTCCGCTCTCGGGCAGCCAGTAGGTCGGCGGTATCCAATAACAGGGCGAGACTGTAAGGCAGCTGCAGCAACACGAAGGCCGCCACCAGGGCCACCACTACGCGCAGCGCACGCCGACGCTCAGGCCCCCTGGCGGCCAGCAGCGTGCGGCCCAAGAGCGCGTAGCAGGCCGCCATGACGCTCAGCGGCAGCGCGAAGCCCAGGACCACCTGCGCCACGGCGCTCGCGCCCTTCACCGTCTGCGTGAGGCCTTCAGGGAAGATGAGACGGCAGCGTCGCTGGCCTTCCCGCTGACCGTCCTGGCTGAAAAGGAGAGCAGGCAGCGCCAGGAGCAGCGACAGCAGCCACATGATGACTGAGACCAAGTGTGCGCGTCCAGACGTGGAGGGCCTCGGTCCAGCTGGGAGGGCCCGCGCGATGGCCACGTACCGGTCGGCGCTGATACAAGCCAGGAATAGGAAGCCGGCGTGGAAGGAGGCGGAGTAAAGGCCCGAGATGGCGCGGCAGGTGACACTTCCCAGACTCCAGCCCTGCAGAGCCCCGGCTGCGGCAAAGGGCAAGGTCACAGCCAGCAGAAGGTCGGCCAGGGCCAGCTGGAGCAGGTGGGCGGAGGTGGGCGAGTGGGCAGCACGTCGGGCTGCCAGGTGGGTTGCCAGGACCAGGCCATTGCCAACCAGACCCAGTGCAGCAACTGTCAAAGAGACAGTAGGCTGGAAGGCCCGACCGAAGGCCTGAACATCCGCCTTGTAGCAGAGCTCTGGTAGTGGTTCTGCCGAGTATGCTTCCTCATCGTCCCCAGAGTAGGGGCCCCAGGAGACCTGGGGAGGTCAAATGAGAAGACAGACCTTATACCACATCTTCATACACACTTACCCCTCCCACACATGCCTTCCAAGCTGGGAGTTCCTATGCGACCAAGTACAACAGTACACCGGGAGAAGATATAAACTCTTCTCCAAACTTCCTAGCACACCCTCAACAGGTCTTTGCTTCCCTTGCACCCCTCCTGCCTCTGCACCCAGCTTCCGGGAAGAACTTGAGCAAGGCACTTACTCTTTTTGGATCTCAGTTGCCTAATAGGTATTAGAAGTCCTGACCAGACCACTCGGCTCCATCCTTGGAAGTAAGAATTGTTTGAAATAAGGAAGATAATGGATGTGAAGCATCTGTGCTCTCTCCTTAAGCCAAGCATTTGTGTTATTCATTCATTTTGGAGCTTCAGTTGCATTTGCAGCGCCCTCTCCTGGAAGAACACTCACATGCAGGCTTTGCCTCAGACCTGATCTCTCAACTCCATGCTTGGTCTGGAGAGGGTTTCTATGTCTCTTTTCCCTTCTTTCCCCCTCACCTCTACCTCCAATACACGTGCGCTGAACTACTCATGACAAAGGGGTCTCAAGGACTGGGGTTCAGGTTATCTGGACTGGTCTGGGACCAGGGACCTCTAGATTCAGCTTCCCATTCCCCTCAGCCCCAGCCCCATCCTTCAGGCCCATCTATCAGGAGGGCCCCTGGTTCCAGAGGGCTCCAGGCATCCTGGATAGGTCATAGCATGGCAGAGGCCTGTTGCCAGGTGGCGAATCCCATCCCTTCATCTTACCCTCCCTCTTTGTAACCCTTCCACCCCTGCCCCCACTCCCACCTGCTCTGTGGGTTCAGTCCCCATCTCTGGCTACACAGGTTTCTGAGGTGTAGCCTCTGGGGAGAGAAGTTAAAGTAGTGGGACAGGAAGGAAGGGGCGGAGTGAGGGGCCAAGAGGGCGTGGGGATTAGGGTCTGTGGGCTCTCTTTAGGTAACTTTCCCGTTTCACACCCTAAAAATATTTTTTCTTTATACTGCCATTGGAAAGAAGGTGTTTCGGAATATCATCATTTGCATGCTACCTGTGTGAGCTTAGTACGTTTTTTTTTTTTTTTTTTTACCTTTCTGAGCCTCAGGTTTTTTTAATCTGCAAAGTGGAGTGAGGGAAAAATGCTGATTTCACAGGGTTATGAGGGTGCCTAGCATGTGTGCCTGGACCATGATTTGCCTTCCGAAAATGTTAGATTATTTTACTTACTCTTCCCCCCATCTCCAAGCACGCCCCCGCCTGGATTCTTCAAGACCCCACGGCCAGTCCTGGCCTTCCTCCTTCCACCCCTGCTGCCTCAGTCCCTACCAGCCTCGGGTTATTTAGGGTATTTCCCGAAGGCTGGAGGCTCTCCACCCCCGCCCTTTCGCAGCAGGGCTGAGGCGCGCGCTTGCGCGGGGTCCGGGCAAGCAGCGCGTGCCTGGAGAGCCTGGGGAAGGGGGGAGGTGAGAGGAGAGAGGGAGGAAAGGAGAGAAGAGAACAGCGGAAAACCAGGAACGACAGGAAGACAGAAGGGGGCAAGGCTGGGGGAGAGGGGAAAGAGGGAGGGGTGGGTAAGGAGAAGAGACAGCGATCCGCCTAGAACCCCAGGAGGGGAGAGCTGGGGGTCAGAGCTGGAACTGGAGCTCAAGCCGAAGCCGGGCACTGGGAGGCGGCCGCCGGGACCTGTCAGCCGTGCACGATGCATCCATGGCTCTTCTGTATCCTGCTCGCTGCTGTCTCAGGAGCCCAGGGCTGGGGTTACTGTGAGTGTGGGGCTGAGAGACAGGCAGGGTTGGGCCCGGGAGTCCAAAGCCTGCAGGGCGAGTCCCGCACCGCATTGCGGCTGGCTGATCGCGAGGCCCTTCCCCGCTGGCGCTCGCTC